TGTAGTACATATATACAGCACACGCCTCCACTACACTCATAGTGACCTGATCCGTACGCTCCTGCACTAAAAATGCATCCCAATGTATCCCTATGTGTTTTATGGGCTACAGTTCTCACGTGCGCAGTCCATTGAGGTTACGACAGAAAAAATACTGCATGTCGCATTTTGTCCGGTCAAGAAACAAAAAACGCACTGCACCTAACATACTGACAGCCCCACTCCAGCAAAGAAAATGTTTTTTTTTTTTAACTGGAACGCATCAAAAACGCGGCAAAAACACATAGCACCGCATCTGCAGATCCGCACATGATCAGGACCTGAAAATCACATGAACAGGCCCTTAGCTACCTGCTAAACCTTCTGTGCTGAAACATGTTCAATTGAATGGCCGTGGACTTTCTCACCCATTACAGGAGCATTGTGTGGCATTTATGTTTGAATTCAAAGCAGTGCAAAATAGTAAAAGTTGGCTTTTAGGGCCTGTTCAACCACTTCCAGTGCGCTCCAGCAGCTGGAAGTGGTGTGAACAGGCTCTTAGCCACTGGTCCCCGGCAAATATCTTTGCATAAAACTTCTTCAAAAGAAGAAAGGAAGTCGGGGTAACTGCTGTTCCCCCGAAAGTACCGTTACCTGCTGTAAATAGCAGATGCATAGTAAGGAAAGGAAGTATCAATCCAGCACAGATGAATCAGGACTATCGTTGAAGTACAATGAGGGGGACTGCTAGTAAGGCTGGCCATACACTGCTATTTTTCTAATTCGACCCACAGGCTGAACAAAAAAAATAAAGCAGATTCCTCTATCAATGCTACAAGTGCGTTGATCGAGGACTCCCTGCAGCTCCTTTTGTATTCCGACAGCGCCTGCCGACCCCTGTCAGAATACCTGAACAGAGCTGGCAGCTCATTGGCTGGAGGCTCTGTTCGGTCGAAGATTTTCCGACAGCAGCACCCACTGTGCGGTTCTTGAGGAACCGGCTGAAAGTCACAGTGTATGGCCCCCTTAATACTCTCCAACTCACATATACAACAGTGTAGAGAGTAATAAAATGCATGTAAAAGGAAACCTGTGTTGAAAGTTATTGTAGTCCTCAGGCTTCAATGTTTTCTAAATCTCTGGCCCTGAAGAAGTATGCTTATCTGGAGATCGGGACCAGTGAATATATTGAATGAAGCCAGAGGCAGCTAGGCTAGCAAGATGAGCCATACCAGCATCCTGAATTACTGGGATAACTTTTTCTTTTACTAAAACACAAAATAAATGTACATTTATTCTTTAAGAGATGCATGAATTTCTGGCAGAACCGGTATTATTCTGTATTGCCATTCACATTTGTGCATTGCAGCAACTCATGACAAAACATGCACTTCCGCAAGACATGGCAATGCACCTGCTCTATGTACAGTGTGTTGCGATACCATTCATTGTAAAGTGCAATACACGATGCACCACAACACAGTATGTGCTACATTTTGAAAAAGGGGTCATGCAAGAAATGTTATCTGCTGTGGTGCATTGACAGCCCATTCATAATAAACAAGCTGCCTTAACATACACGTTAACGTGTGCATTAATGTATCGCAATGGAACCCGTGTGAATAGGCCTTAACAGGATAAAATACGGAGAAATGTGCATGTATTGCAGAGATGTACTTTTTTTATTATTTATTTATTTTGCATTGACATATTTTGCTCACTCTGGTTCCTACATCCCCCCTCCAACATGTGGATAACATTTTTATTTTAGACTCTGACTGGGCCTCTGTACGCAATGCAGACAGGTCATGGCTGGTGGGAGGAGCCAGAATTGTGATAGCTTCCTGAAAACATCACAGCTCCCTGCCGCAGTACGCCTTTAAAAAGCACTCTTGCAAGCAATGGGTTAACTCCTGGGAGTAGCTATGCAAATAACCAAATGCCTTAATGGGTGGGTGCCAGTCTGGAGGCGTGGACGTTTCTAGGCAGAATGCATTTGCATGCAGACCTACACAGATCCTAGGTAATTCCCTCATGTGATGCAGAGCTTCCATCATTGAAGGTACTTAAATACAAATGGATGAAAGAGGCAAGTAAAAGGACACTTTGGCTGGGGAGGTAAGGGCTGGATCAGTGGTACCCAACACACGTGGCACGGCAGCTCACTGTATGCAGCCCATCAGCTCCTGGGCTGGGCCACAACCTGTTGAGCACCTGTGAACTTTGCAGAGTGTTAACGGGTTGCTGGGAACTGAAATACTTTGCATTTCAACACTGGAATAAAATCAGCATAGTGAGGTGGAGTAATCTCCACCTGGAAGTAGAAACATATATGGATGCAACTAATCACTAATGGGAAATAACTAACATCGGAGTAATACTGCGTAACTGATGGGATTCCTAGAAGTATGTAGTCTCCTTGGATTAGAACTACGGGGGAGAAGGAGTGCGGTCACTTTTTTGCAAGTCTAAAAATACAAATCTGACAGGGGCTCTAGCTCTACCATACCTGACTAAGGATTTTTAGGTGTGCCTGTTTCTGTTGCATAGCTCTCCTTTTTTACTCTTTGCAACAACAACAAAAAAAACTGGAGGCATTCTAACCCTTCCCCACTTTATCCAAAACTAAAAAAAAAAAAAAAAAGTTTTGCCAGGATTTACATTTTAGGTCCAAGGATGGCATTAAAAAACAGCCTGGTGTCGGAATGGATCTCTGGTAAAATATTTAATTCAACCTGAAATTCTTGTATCTCATCAATTCCTTGATCTTGGAGTAGAGGATCAGAAACTTATGAAGGCATGGACAACGGACACACTGGAGTAAAAGCCTCCCTTGGTTAAAGGAACCGGAAGCAGGATTTGCTAGATTCCTTGGGAGTTTTGTGATAAAGAAGGTAGTGGTGTAAGCTGGATGAGAAAAGCACATGGGAATTGAAAATTCCTTTCACCAAAATTCAACTGATGCAATTTATTTGAATGGAGAAAATCCAAAAATGTAAAATCATTCTTGAAAACCAAGTTGCCCACAAGCATTGAAAGATTGATCTTCATAAAAACAAACAGCTTGAACAGATAGTTTGTTGTCCCTCCCATCCCTGGCTTGTTTGACAGAAGGACTTTTAAGGTTTGATATAGTGGTATGTTCCTTGAAGACTTTTAGGTGGAAGTATTACAGGGCTTTTTTTCCCTCTCTCCTTCAAAGTGCATGTTAAGCCAAAACATTTTCTTAAAAGTTTTGGATAGGAGTAGAAAGGGAAACCTCCAAGGTTTTAAATTGAGGTCTAGTTCCGCTGGGGAGATTCACTCTCAATATTAGTCATGATAATATGGCAGCCTTCCTTTTTCTTCAGTATAGGCCATCTTTGTCACAGGTTGGACTGCAAGCACGCCTGCCTTTGTTCCTTTCCATTACATGGAGGATTGATGGGACTATTAGTTTAAGCAAGAAAGAGAAGGATGTTATACTTTGTCATCTTACAGGAAATGACAAGGGCACTATATTTCCGACAAGATCAACAGGTATTTTCTGCACTTGCTAAAATGCTCTTAGCCTAAGAAAAACAAAAACTAATGCAGCCACCACGTCTAAGGACTGTTAAATTTCAATAGATTATATCTTGGATTTTGGGTTTAGATATACTTTAAATTGATAATGGTGTCAAGAGTTTTCCCTGATAAAGGCACCTGCAAGGCATCATAAAACACAGTAAATCAAGCTTATAGTCATTTATATTGATCTCTTGGTATAGCAGATTGCAAGGGTTTTCCTTTCCTTATACTGCTGCAACTCTGGTAGATTACTGTGGGGAGAATTTAGAATTTCTGCTGAGGTATGAAAATAATGATGGCAGTGCCAATTGGTGATAATCATTGACTGGTTTAATTTAGTTTGCTGCCAAATATGCTGCTGTATTCAACAATTTGCTTTTGTGATTTAATAAAACACTTAAAGCTGGCCATACACTTTACAATTATCTGCAGATTTTCTCTGGTCAGATGGAAAAAATTCAACAGATTTCTCCATCTACGCTAAACTGTGCTTCAGTATCTTGCTAGTCGGCCCCGCTGGCTCTGAAAACACCTGAACAATGCCTGCATCCAATCAGATTGTTCAGGTATTTTGGGAGCCAGCGGGGCAGACTAAGATACTGAAGCTTGGCCCAGGTGGAGATTACTCCAGCCACACAGTTTGGCGTAGATGGAGAAATCTGTTGCACTTTTTCCATCTGACCACAGAAAATCTGCAGATAATTGTAAGGTGTATGGGCACCTTAATCCAGATCTACCTCCCTCCCATACAAGTCAATGAGAAGACAAAAGTAGCTTGAAGCAGCTTAAAGAGAAGTCAAATGCAGGTTAACAGCAGGTAAAATACAAGCTTAAATAGGAACTTTACCCTTCTCTTTAAAATGACATCACCTTTAAAAATGTTTAGTAATGACAATCTACAGATACTTGTAGACAATTGCAGGGTTTTATTATTTGCAAACCTTATTTTTCTGCTCCTCCCCATTCTTCTCATGGTGGTGATTTTTACAAGTTAATATCTCTCCTTTTACTTCCCAGAACTCTGGCACATGCGACCATGAACATCTCAAGGGGGAAAAATGCCTTTCCCCAAGATCCTGCAAAATTTTGCAGTTTACAGATGAGATTTCACTGGGATGTAACCTTCCCAGGATGCATCACTTAGGCACAGGCTACATCACTAATGCCTAATACGACCAGGAGTGGAAAAAGCAAAATATATATTTAATCAATGTAGAATGATTTCATATCAGCATGCTGAGGTGATTTTTAGTGAAGGGGGGGTAAAGGTCCACTTTAATGAATGCACCCGAAAGCAACAATACAACCATTTTGGATGATTTCTTCTTAGATCACCTAATATAGCCAATTTCATGTGTGTTCTCTTTTGCAAAGAAATTGCAGTAAAGAACAAGTTTTATAAAAAATAAATGTAACAACCCTTTTAATGCAATGTTACAGTATTTAGATTTCCATATACACAAACTACTTACAGATGTAGGGAGCCCTCGGGGTAATTTACGTACTTTTTTAGGCTGCGTATCTGCAGGATGAAAATGAGACCAACAAAAAAAGATGGTTAGCAACCCCTGCTTCAAATGGAACTAGTCACAACTGGGTTTATGCAAAACATTGAATATTCAGTCTATAATTAGTAAGATTGAAGAGTCCTGTTTAAAGTAAAATTTAACCCATCGATCCTCCAAGGAAATTGCCATTTTGGCCTCTATTTAGACCTGCAGTTACCATGGTGCTGCACATGTCACCAACTAGGACACCAGCCATTTGAGGGTTTCAAAGCTCAGTTGAGAACAGACATAATTATGCACGCTGGCAACAGTGACAGTTATCAGAGGCATGCCATGAATGCAGCATAAAGTGCACATGCTCTAATAGGCAGAATATGAATAAAAACAACATTGGTATGTTTGATTAAGGATTTAATAACCTTTTTTGAACATTTTTATTGAGCTTTCTTTTGGGAAACCATCAAATCAGTGGGTTTAGTTCCGCTTTAAAGAATAGTTATACTTGAACAGTTATTAAAGTTTACTTACTCTGTGTGAGCCTGTCATTTCAGAGATTACCTGCCAGAGAAATACTGCCATGACTACTGCATTAGCTCACACACATTTCCCAGCTTCTGGATTAGCAATCAGTTGCTTCAGGCAGTTAGCAGGCACAAACTTCATATGACTATCAGATTCCTGGTGATCTCTAACCCCTTAACCCCTTCACACAAAATGAAGTTTAAGGCTCAGCTTGGACAGCCCAAGTAAAACTGATCCTTGCTGCTGGAGCCTTTTTCTAATTTTTGGCACATACATTAAAATGCACATTTTTGGCCTTAAAGTGGCCTCAAGCTCAGGAGTTACATTTTTGTTAACTGGTAAGGTACATGAATTTATAAAATGTATCTTATTTGTGCATCACACAGCTGTAGATCCTCAAATCATCTCTAAATTGGTGTCGACACAGTCCTTCTGTCTGGAGGGTGGCTACTTTTGTTCTCCATGGTCCGTGTGTGTTGTAAAGTAGCCACCGCTCCAAGCTTGCTCCCATGATAGAATACAATCTTGCATTTAGTTTAATTTTCTAATTTGTATTGAAATTGTAGTCAATCACGGGAGCAAGGCTGGAGCGATGGCTACTTTAAAACACACAGGGACCCAAGGGGAACAAACGTAGCCATCCTCCATAAGGAAGGACAGTGTCAGCACCAATTAAGAGATGATTTGAGGATCTACAGCTGAATGATACACAAATCAGATACATTTCTGTTAATAGTTAAGGGACTTGAATGCATTTTTAAGATTTACGGTACGTCCTCGATTTCTTTATTTTTTGCCGGTGGCTTGACGCACACTAGGAAATGTCCTTGGCAACTAAATTTCGTTTCCAAGGAAATTCCTTGTTTACATCTTGCTGCCGGCGGCTAGATTCCACGGTCAGAAGCAGAATGTATGCTTGGCTATTGAAACCCTGGCCACTGGGCAGAGGAGCGGACCTGAGAAAGAAAGTGTTCAATGCTCAGCGTGCGGGGTTTCAATAGCCAGCCTGGTATTGCCTATTGCAATGTGCAATAGCAGGCTGGCTATTGCTCCCAGCTTCTTACATTCAACTGTCAGCTGTGGAAGCTGGGGGGGGGGGGGGGTGGGGGGGGCCACGGGGGGTGGGC